GTGCATAAGTTCGTGCCCGATTCCGCGCTGGATGCCATTCGAATCGTTTGAGAGTGGCGCTCGTGAAAGAAATATATACATATTATATATCGTTGGAAAGGTGACAGTCCGAACTGTAAATCAAGCATAAAATAACTTCATATTGATTTGAGTTGCTTAGTGAAAAGACGCATGGAAGATGGACAACGAAAAAGATCATATGCGTCATATTATGTTATACGAATTCCGCAAAGGAAAAACAGTAGGCGCTGCAACTAAAGATATTCGCGAAGTTTATTTGGACCGTGCTCCAGCACTCCGCACAGTAAAGAAATGGTTCGCGAAATTTCGTTCTGGAGATTTTAACCTCGAAGATCAACCTCGCAGTGGACGGCCTTCTGAGCTTGATGACGATGTTCTAAGGACTTTAGTTGCGAATAACTCACGTATTTCGACGGAAGAGGTTGCCAGTGAATTGAACGTCAACAAATCAACTGCGTTTCGTCGTTTAAAAAAGGTTGGGTACACTTTGAAGCTCGATACATGGGTGCCACATCAGTTGAGTGAAAAAAACAAAGTGGACCGTATGTCAACAGCAATTTCTTTGCTTCGACGGATCAAAAACGAACCTTTTTTGGATCGGCTCGTGACTGGTGATGAAAAATGGATCCTGTACAACAATGTTCAACGCAAAAGAACATGGAAACAGGCACACGAAGGGGCGGAACCGATGTCGAAAGGTGGATTGCATCCGATGAAGGTACTGCTGTGCATTTGGTGGGATATCCGAGGCGTGATCTATTTTGAGCTCTTGCCAGCTGGAGAAACGATCACTGCCAACAAGTATTGTCAGCAATTGGTCGAATTGAAGAAAGCAATTGATGAAAAACGTCCGATTTTGGCCAATCGCAAAGGAGTTCTTTTCCATCATGACAACGCCAGGCCACATGTTGCAAAACCGACCCTGGCCAAACTGAAGGAGATGAATTGGGAAATCATGCCGCATCCCCCATATTCACCCGACATTGCACCTTCTGATTATCATTTGTTTCGATCGCTGCAGAACAATTTGAATGGAAAAAAATTTAAAAATGTGGAAGACGTCAAAAACCACCTTGACACCTTTTTCAACGAGAAACCGCGCGATTTCTATGAATCAGGCATCCGTAAATTAGTTGAACGTTGGGAGTGGATTGCCGAACATGAGGGCGAATATTTAATTGATTAATAAAATCGCTTTCTTCAAAAAATTTCAATTTTAGCTTGCACTTGAAATCGGGCACGAACTTATGCACTCATCAATATTTCGAAAAAAATACACCAACAGAACCACTCAGCTATCCAACTTTCTACAAGGAACAATAAAATAAATAAATAAATAAAATTTTTAACGTTAATATTACCCTAATCCCTATCATTGTTTGCAATCAACGCTCCCGTACCACTCCGTTCAGTTTGCAAACAAAAAAATAAAAATAAATTTAAACCGTTAAAATTAAAAATAAATTTAAATACAAAATATAACAAATAAGCCTTTATAGTCTTAAAAAAACACTCAGCTATAATTTCACCATTTATTGACTAAGAGTTTTATACCTCGAGAACAAGCTTAAAGATCGTGTTTCTTAAACCTACGTTTGGAGGAATAACCTGGCAATATGTGGAAGTAATTTCCCGGCCAAAAAACCACCAAATCCAAAAAAAAAATAATAATAATTGGGTCATTTATTTTAGTCAAAAAAATAGACTTAAAAAGGCTGTGGCTTTCACAAAAACTAGTTGAAAAAAATAAATTCGTACGTGCTTCCAAGGATCATAGTGTAGATAAAAGCTTTGTTTTTCTGTTCTAGGTCTCATCCTTTAGAAGAAATCGGTCCTCCCGTGGACATTTTTCAAAGAAGCATGGACTAAATAATTTCCATATTGTAACAAAATAATAATTAAAGAATATTTTTTTATACTTCAATATATTTTCAATGAAATGGTTAAATAGAAATTCTATTCCTTTTCCCATATTCTTACAATAAACTTTTTTAAAAAGGTATATTTTTCAACCACTAGAGTGGCAAAGAAGAGAACCCTTAAGTTGCAAAGTGTAGCTGCGTCAGAGCTGTTCGGATTATCACTTGTTGAACACTATTTATCTCTTTAAAAGTACACCTTGCCAAGGGTCGACAGCATTTAGACAAAACTTTCTTTTCTTACTTTATATATTTTTATATTATTAATTGACGGCTACCACTTGAAGATTATGAGTAATTCGAAAAATGAAGATAAAATGGTAATTTTCGTAAATAATATCATATCTTATCAAAACATGATTGTTTTTGTTTCCAAATACCCGCTAGACTTACTTTTATCTTGAGTTTGATCATATCAGACACGTGGCAGCAAATAGGAAAATATTCATACACATGTATCTTTATGCAAGATTTCCAAGAAGAACATGCGCTGTACCTGATATAGATGAGTGTCGGTAGCAATAGCAGAGTGGTTAATACTGCTTACAACCATCTGGAAGGCTCTAACCCTAGTCTAGGTTCTACCAACTTACAAAATTGTAGATAATTAATTTTAAATATCAGATGTACAACTTTGTCTCTGTAAATTTTGTTACCAGCAAAATAAGAGGTAAAAAAATCTGCTGTAACATTTTGTGTTGTTAGTAAGATAAAAGTGCAAAAAGGCTTATGTTTAGAAGTTTGCGAGGATGGCCTGACGTTTGGCTTCCTAACGTCATCGGTGACTTAGCAGGTTATGGCACCTCATTGTCTGCCGATAATTGTCTTTTGGCCGCAATTCTTTCTTCGATCCGATTCGCAAGCCTTGGATGAGTGTAGATGAAGTGTTGCCGTGCTGAATAATTTGATCGATCCTCCGCCATTTTTGCCTTTATCCAAGTCAACCATTTCTCCTCATCCTTCGTTTGATTTAACAACGGTCTTGTACATTGATTCAAACCCGCCTAACTGAATTTAACCCCAGCCACTTTCTTTATTAACGTTGTACTTTGTAGGTAATCACCCCCTCATCAGGATTGTCTAAAAAAGAAACAACTGGCGGAAATGGTTAAATTTTTAAAATCCTGCATGATCATCTTGGCACGACTAAGGTCAGCGCAAAATGGTTGCCGTAAAAACAGCAACATATTAAGCTACTAAAAAAGCCATGAAATTAAAAAGACGGGAAAAAAATTAAGAAAGGGGTGCTGTTTTTGCACTCCAACAAAAGCACGTTCACAAAAACCATGCTGCGTTGGCTGCCCTGCATAAGGTGGGCTTCGATATTTTGAATCACCCACCCGGAAGCCCAGCCTTGACACGTGTAATTATTACCGCTTTCCAAAAAATGTAAGAATAGAGTCGCGGAATAGAAAATGTATCACCAATGATGCAGTCAAGAAGACAACTTCGAATTATTTTGAATATAAAGAACAAACACTTTTTAAGAGGATATTAATAAAATTGAGAATTGGAAAATTTGTCCGTCTTGCGGTTGAATATATCGAAAAGGAAAATAATTTAGAGTTTTATTTCCATACCTTAGCCCCATTCTCTCCTAACATAAAAATGCCCGCTGGTGTGTTGGGGATTCTTATGTATACCAGGTTCCCTTCATTGTTGGTGTATGAATGATTTCCAACCGAGATTAAGGCGGTTCTCATCGAAAGACCACTTGACTACTAAGTATGAATTTGATTTAGTCTTTTTTTTTTTAAATTCGTGATTAATGAAAAAATGCTTTCCGAAGAATGCAACGTAGTACAAGAAAGTATAAGGTTGTCAAATATCTCCCTTCCGTTTTTTTGTCTTTTGAATTTCGCGGCTATTTACAAAGCGCTACAGAGCTCGTATCTGGCAACACTATACATAATTTGAAAGGTCTTGGTACTCTTTCACTTCGAACCGCGGAGGAATGGATTCAGAGCCGGTGAAAACGACACCATGGATAAGCCAGCCGGCGGAAGACCTGTGACGACAAATACCAATCAAATCATGGAATACATCGAGTTAGACCGGCATATAGCATCTCGTGACATCGCCTAGGAGATGGGAGTTAGTCACCAAACCATTTTGAACCATCTGCAGAAGGCTGGATACAAAAAAAAAGTTTGATGTTTGGGTGCCGCATAATTTGACGCAAAAAAACCTTCTGGACCGAGTCAACGCCTGCGATATGCTGCTGAAACGGAACGAACTCGACCCATTCTTGAAGCGGATGGTGACTGGCGACGAAAAATGGATCCCATACGACAATATTAAGCGAAAACTGTCGTGGTCGAAGGCCGGTGAATCGTCCCGAACAGTGGCCAAGCCGGGATTGACGGCCAGGAAGGTTTTGCTGTGTCTTTGGTGGGATTGAAAGGGAATCATCCACTATAAGCTGCTCCCATATGGCCAGACGCTTAATTCTACCATCTACTGCGAAGAACTGGACCGCTTGAAGCAGACGATCGACCAGAAGCGTCCAGAATTGGCCAACAGGAAGGGTGTAGTGTTCCACCAGGACAACGCCAGACCACACACTTCGTTGATCACTCGTCAGAAGCTATGGGAGGTTTTATCGCATCCACCATATAGCCCGAACGTAGCGCCAAGTGATTACCACCTGTTCCTGGTTATGGCGAATGCCCTTGGTGGTGTGAAGTTGAACTCAAAAGAGGCTTGTGAAAAGTGGCTGTCCGAATTCTTCGCAAATAAGGTGGGGGGTTTCTACGAGGAAGGTATTATGAAGTGGCCGTCTAGATGGAAACAGATCATCGAACAAAACGGCGCATATTTTAACTAAATCCGATCACTTGAACACTTTTTATAAAGCATTAAATGAAGAACAAAAAAAAGCGGAAGGGAGATATTTGACAACCTTATATTAAATTTTTATTTATTCTATATATATGAAGTGTGAGGAGAAGAAAGATGTTTGAACAGTATAAAATAAAATAAACTAATTTAAAAAAAAAAGATTTAAATAAGTAAAAAAGATGTATTGCCATATATTTTAAAATTTTCTTTAATTTTCAGTCAAAAACTAACCTCACCTAAATGGAATCATTTCAAAGGAATTCGCTTGCGTTGGAAGGACAAAATTCGTTTGAACAATGTTATTTGGCGTTGTTGGCATATGCAATGTAAGTAGCGGTATATGTATAAAAAAGTTTGTATGTAGGTATGTGTATATTGGATGAGTGCATAAATTCGTGCCCGATTTCAAGTGCAAACTAAAATTGAAATTTTTTGAAGAAAGCGCTTTTAATATTCAATTATATATTCGCCATCATGTTCGGCAATCCACTCCCAACGTTCAACCAATTTACGGATGCCTGATTCATAGAAATCGCGCGGTTTCTCGTTGAAAAAGGTGTCAAAGTGGTTTTTGACGTCTTCCACATTTTTAAATTTTATTCCATTCAAATTGTTCTGCAGCGATCGAAACAAATGATAATCAGAAGGTGCAATGTCGGGTGAATATGGGGGATGCGGCATGATTTCCCAATTCATCTCCTTCAGTTTGGCCAGGGTCGGTTTTGCAACATGTGGCCTGGCGTTGTCATGATGGAAAAGAACTCCTTTGCGATTGGCCAAAATCGGACGTTTTTCATCAATTGCTTTCTTCAATTCGACCAATTGCTGACAATACTTGTTGGCAGTGATCGTTTCTCCAGCTGGCAAGAGCTCAAAATAGATCACGCCTCGGATATCCCACCAAATGCACAGCAGTACCTTCATCGGATGCAATCCACCTTTCGACATCGGTTCCGCCCCTTCGTGTGCCTGTTTCCATGTTCTTTTGCGTTGAACATTGTTGTACAGGATCCATTTTTCATCACCAGTCACGAGCCGATCCAAAAAAGGTTCGTTTTTGATCCGTCGAAGCAAAGAAATTGCTGTTGACATACGGTCCACTTTGTTTTTTTCACTCAACTGATGTGGCACCCATGTATCGAGCTTCAAAGTGTACCCAACCTTTTTTAAACGACGAAACGCAGTTGATTTGTTGACGTTCAATTCACTGGCAACCTCTTCCGTCGAAATACGTGAGTTATTCGCAACTAAAGTCCTTAGAACATCGTCATCAAGCTCAGAAGGCCGTCCACTGCGAGGTTGATCTTCGAGGTTAAAATCTCCAGAACGAAATTTCGCGAACCATTTCTTTACTGTGCGGAGTGCTGGAGCACGGTCCAAATAAACTTCGCGAATATCTTTAGTTGCAGCGCCTACTGTTTTTCCTTTGCGGAATTCGTATTACATAATATGACGCATATGATAGTTTTCGTGAAAATGAAGTTATTTTATGCTTGATTTACAGTTCGGACTGTCACCTTTCCAATGATATATAATATGTAAATATTTCTTTCACGAGCGCCACTCTCAAACGATTCGAACGGCATCCAGCGGAATCGGTCACGAACTTATGCACTCATCCTATAGAAAAGTGCCTGAATAAAGTTACACACCCTCATATATATTATGTATATACATAGATGTTTTTTTATTAATACTTTGAATGATAACGCAAGACCCTATGAGAGCTTTTTTTTGCATTGATAAGCATTTACAATACTCTTTGTGTATTATTTTGAATATCATTATATTATGGATACATATTCGTATGTACATACACGTGCATATGTATCAGCAAGCAGGTGTGTGTGTGTTTCTGTTAGATTAAATGAATTTTTTCGCTCTAAACTGCAGGCTAAATGTCTTCTTTTTTATCTGTATTGTTTCTGTATTATATAAATTATAATAAATACAACAGGCATAAATATCAGGTTTTGTAAAAATGTAATCCATTATTTTTTGCATTAAATTAAAGATTTTTTTTTAAGATATTTAGCACTATCCTTTTGATGAAATCTTTTTGCTTCTTAATTTCTCGTTTTGATTGAAATCTCAGTAACATATGGTAATTTATTTTTCAAGTTCTCGTAGCTTCTGGCGAGTCACTATCCATGTGTGTGGTCAAGCGTTGTCCTCATAAAACACAATTTCCCTCCTGTTCACCAACGCTGGGCTTAGATACCGTATGTGCCGGCTCACTGTTAAGTAATATACTTTTCATAACCACTCGCTATCCGCTTCAGAAATAGTTCGACTTTACGTTGCAGCAGGGATTCGCGATTCTTTTTGTATTGAGCCTTTTCCAAACTGTTTTTGTGCAATGTTTAGCTCCTAGACGTTACAGTCAGACTCAATGATTTCCATTGTTTCATCAACAGTTTCGAAAATTGGCCTTCCAGGACTATTAGAACTATTCACATTTTCAACTGCCTGACTTGTGTTTTCGCGTTTGTCGAAGAAAAACTGTAGAATACTATCTCTTTGCTAGTGGTCATCTTTGACACTACTGCAAACACTACTAAATTAAGGAGCAACACTTCTCCTGTTATCTTTTTTAGTACAAAATATCATCTTTTTAACGCCATCTGGCGTAATCCAGTCGTACTTATGAAACGCGAGATACAGATCGATAAAGTCATATATTGCAAAAATAATTGATTATATTTTATTAAACCTTTGTTAGTGACATTCGTATGTATGCAGGTATTTATTAGATAAAAACACAACACATATACACATATACTATGTATTGGTGAATTAATATTGTGTAGCTGCAAAAAAAAGTCTCAAAAAATTTGGGAATCATTAGCAATTGGAGCTTTGAATTTTAACCAATAGAATAAGAAGCTGTGCATCATCGAGATCACGCCACATTTTGAAGTGTGGGCAAACGTATGCTTTTTCCATGAGACAACACTTTTTTGGCAGTTGGTCTTTTTGGCAGCGACACATCGCGCACTTCGCCCAATAATCGGTCGGTAATTCGAACAACCATGACTCGATCTCGCATTACTATTCGGTTGCCCAAAAAGTAATTGCGGATTTTTTTAAAAGAAAGTAAATGCATTTTTTATAAAACTTAGAATGAACTTTAATCAAATATATAATTGCCATTTTGTTCGATAACCTTTTGCCATCTTCCTGGCAAATTTAGTATTCCACGCTCATAGAACTTCTGGCCTTTATCTGCAAAAAACTGAACCAAGTGCGATTTTATAGCCTCATCATTGCCGAAAGTTTTACCATTTAAGGAGTTCTGCAAAGATCGAAATAAATGGTAGTCTGATGGTGCAAGGTCAGGGCTATATGGTGGATGCATCAAAAGTTCCCAGCCAAGCTCACTCAGTTTTTGGCGAGTGACCAAAGATGTGTGCGGTCTAGCGTTGTCCTGGTGGAATATGACACCTTTACGATTGACCAATTCTGGTCGCTTCTCCTTGATGGCTGTATTCAATTTGTCCAATTGTTGACAGTAAACATCCGAATTAATCGTTTGGTTCCTTGGAAGCAGCTCAAAATATACGACACCCTTCCAATCCCACCAAACAGACAGCATAACCTTCTTTTGGTGGATATCAGCCTTTGAAGTGGTTTGAGCTGGTTCACCATGCTTGGACCATGATCGTTTTCGACTAACGTTGTTGTAAACAATCCATTTTTCATCTCCAGTTATGATTCGTTTTAAAAACGGATCGAATTCATTGCGTTTAAGGTGCATATCACAAGCGTTGATTCGGTGTGTTAAATGAATTTCTTTCAATACATGTGGTACCCAAATATCAAGCTTTTTCACCAGTCCAAGACTTTTTATGTGATAATGAACGGTTGATTTTGGTATATTTAACTTCTCTCCTATCTCACGCTCAGTTACATGACGATCCAATTCGATTAATGCTTTGATTTGGTCATCATCAACTTCATTTGGCCGACCTGAACGTGGCTCATCTTTAAGTGAAAAATCTCCAGAACGGAATTTGCGAAACCAATTTTGACACTGTCTTCCTTTTAAGGCTTCATCACCATACACATCTCGTAACTTTTTAGCAACCTGCTCCGCGTTTTTTCCTTTACGGAAATAATAAAGTAAAATATGACGAAAATGCTCCTTTGTGGGCTCCATATTAAAATTGACGCCAAACAAACAAATGTAAACAAAATTTCGCGCACTTTTTTTCTAAAGCAAGCTAAAAGTAACAGCTGATAACTGACAGAAGAAAGAATGCAATTACAGGGTCACAAGCCGTTGAAAAAATTTGTCAACGCCGACTATATGGAAAATCCGCAATTACTTTTTGGGCAACCCAATAGTTCTAATTTATAATGCGCATCCTCAGAGACGCCGTACAGTACGCATCGAAGACGCTATTGCTGCTGTTTGGCAGAGTGTCGAAGAAGACCCGATTGGAGTACACTTTTAGTTGGATGAATAGTTTAATAAACAAAATTGTCATAATTGGGGTGATGTTAAGCCATAATCCATTATTGACACGCCGTTACATACTCAAAAAGTTGTCAATGGTGTTCTCCATGGGCAGAGGGAATAATTGGCACATATTTCTGCAAAAATAAAGCCTTAATTGGAGGACTAGGTTCCAACAGGACGGCGCTAAAAATCTTTCGATAAGCGAATTATCTCCATGCGCCCATGGGCTCCAATATTGTGCGATTTAACACCGCTGGACTATTTTCGTAGAGCTATGCGGAGCAGCTTGTATACGCAGATAAACCCTAGACGATTACCGCCTTGGAAGAGAATATTCGCTGGCATAGGGCCCTGAACTTGTGTCTCGGGTAGAATTTACTCGAGCCAGACACGGTGATCATTTACCCGAAATTATTTTTAAAACATAATGGCAAACCTTTATCTTTATTAAAAAGCTAAACTTATTGCCAGAACATTAATTTATAACGGTTTTAATTTCTTTCTTCTTTTAATTAACAACAATTTTTTCGATATAAGGTTTTGGGCCAAAAAACAGTTACAAAACAAGTAAGAACTTGAAATTTGGTAGCCTACATATGTAAATTCAAAAGATAAACATTAAAGATAAAAATCATCGCAGTTCGGTATGTTAAGGGGTTACATCTAGTTAGGAGACCTAAAAAAAGAGGTATTTCAAACATTTTTCACGAGGAAACTGTTAGCTTTATTATTTTGAGCATTTGAACACATATTATGGCATCTTTGAAGAGTAGTTAGAAATTTTGTATTTATAAAAATAATTGTTTTTGAAGCTGCTACAGCAGATCTCCAGGGACCCCTCCCAAAACAGGCGTTTTGCGGTGA